TCAGTGGATAGAGCATCGGCCTGCGGACTGAAGGTCCCAGGTTCGGTTCCGGTCAAGGGCATGTACCTGGGTTGCTGGCACATCCCCAGTGGGGAGTGTGCAGGAGGCAGCTGATCGATGTTTCTCTCTCATCGACGTTTCTAACTCTCTATCTCTCTCCCTTCCTCTCTGTAGAAAATCAATAAAATATATTTTTAAAAAAATAAATAAAAAGCTGATGGGTGGCAGGTCCCCTCGGGGAAGGCATCCTGAGCGATAAGTGGGCAGGCCATAGAGAAGCCAAGGAGGGCCAGGCCTTGCCAATCACGGTGTTGGCTGATGGTGGCAGGCCTGACGGGGCCCTGGTTTAAGGGACGTCACACCCAGGAAGGACACATCAGCAGGGTCGACACCAGGGTGAACCCACGGAGGAAGGTCCAGGGGTGTTCCACGTTCGTAACAGTGAACTTGCTGGCCCTCTGGATGCACAGATGCCATGATAGGGACCCCCCCACCCCCCCACCGAGCTGGAATAACAGGCCCTTTCATTGCGTGGTATTTCCTGTCTTTCCTGAGACAGAAATTACAAATGCGCATAATTTTTGTTGGCAGGAAGAAGTGATGGAGGTAATTCTGTTTTGAAAAACTGTGCCCTCAACTGGTAGCTGTGGGGTCGGGGACCACGTGTCTAACCCTGTGTCTTAGTTTCCTCGTCTGTGACACGGGTCTGAGCACCACAGGGAGGGTGGCCATGACCACACAGGGCCACACAGGCAGATAGCGGGAATGCATCCGGTGGCAGGGATGAGCTTTCACTGTCCCCCGGGCGAGGGGTGGCCAAGGGGTGGCCGAGAACCGCTAGGAGAGCCGCTGCTGGGGGTGCCTGCGGGTCAGTGCCCGGGCTCTCAGCCAGGCCCCGTTTCTGCTGACTGGACAGCCTCCCTCATGAGCTCACGCTTTCAGATGAATCCCCTGACGCCTGCATCCGGTCCTGGGCGTATATAGGGAGGCCCCGCGCCCGGCTCCCCACTGTGCCACCCAGAGGCCTGCTGAGTCCCGGGTCCTGCAGCCCCGACGCCCACCATGGACATCGCCATCCAGCACCCCTGGTTCAGGCGCGCCCTGGGCCCCTTCCACCCAAGCCGGCTCTTCGACCAGTTTTTCGGCGATGGCCTCTTCGAGTGCGACCTGCTGCCCTTCCTGTCCTCCACCGTCAGCCCCTACTACCGCCAGTCCCTGTTCCGCACCGTGCTGGACTCTGGCATCTCTGAGGTGAGGCGGGTGCAGGGAGGGCTGGGCGTGGTGCCTGGAGGACCAGTGGCTGGGGTTTCTGAGGGCTGCCCTGGAGCTGCGAGCTCTCCTCTCACTGTGTGGCGTGCATGGCAACAGCTGCGGGATGCTTCCCCCTCGCCCCAGTCCCTCCTGACGGCAGAGGCCCGTTGGGCGCCCCCTACAGCAGAGACTCCTGTGCCTCCCGAGAGGGGTCGAGAGGGAGCCAGCCTGGACCCAACCGCTGTCTTTTCCTCCATCAGCTCATGACCCATATGTGGTTTGTAATGCACCAACCACAGGCTGGAAACCCCAAGAGCAACCCCACCAAGGCAAGTTCAATGGCCGACGCGAGCTGTGTGTGCAGCAGCAGAAGCCTGGGTAGGGGGTGCTGCCCAGGTCCCCAGCGGAGGGCCTACGGGGAGCCCTGGGCGGCCAGCGGAGGGCCTATGGGGAGCCCAGGTCCCCAGCGGAGAGGCGCAGTGTGGGCTCATCCCGCACCAGCCCAGGTGCCCAAGGCCAGGCCCAAAGGAAAGGCAGCGAGAGCCACCCGTCTTCCCTCCCCGAGACGGACCCCAGGCCCCGAGTGCTGGGTGCCAGGTCTGCCCACCTTCTAAACCAGGGGTGGGAACTTTCTCCTGCCAAGGGCCATTTGGGTATTTATAACATCACTCGCGGCCATACGGAATGATCAACTTAAATATTAGCCTGCTCTATTTGGTCGAACGTTTCATGAACTCGCCCTAATGCCTTGGCAGGGCCAGACCAAACGATTCCAGGGGCCTTATGCGGCCCGAGGGCTGGGCAGTCCCCACCCTGGTCTGAACGCAGGCCTGCCCAGAGCTGACACACGCGGATCTACCCCAGTGGCCAGAACAGCCTAAACACAGGTTCTGAGTGAGGAGCAGCGCCCGGAAGTGCTCTGTGTGCAGGTGGCGGCCACCTCGTGGGCTGTTGGGCGCGGCCAGTCGATGGGAAAGGACAGGGCCCCAGGCTGTTGATGGTGGTCAGGGGAAGCCAGGGCAGCGGCTTTAGTCCAGGTGCTAGGTCCGCCCACCCAGCCAGCCAGCCAACAACCAACCTTACCCAACCAACCAACCAGCCAGCCAACCAGTAGCCAACCAGCCAGCCAGCCCACAGCAGCTGTCCGGCTGCAACCAGCCAGCGGGCCCGCTACCAACCAGACATCCGCAGACAACACCGCCTTGCACCCAGGTCTGGCTGTCAGCCGAGTGTCCACCCAGCCCCCGTCCCTGGTCCCCTGCGTGTGTCTAAGGAGAGGCCAGCGCTGTGACCTGCAGTGTCTGTCCTGATAACTGGGGACGGAGCCGCCGGCCACTCCACCCTGGCCGCTCTGGCCGGCCCGGCAGGGACCACAGCAGCCAGTCCCCTCCCTGAGCCTCAGCCCAGGGAGACCCACCCGAGCGTTTGGGTTCCAGGTCCGATCCGACCGGGACAAGTTTGCCATCTTCCTGGACGTGAAGCACTTCTCCCCGGAGGACCTCACCGTGAAGGTGCAGGAGGACTTCGTGGAGATCCACGGCAAGCACAGCGAGAGGCAGGTGAGCCCCGAGCCGTGGGAGGGCCGCCCCAGGGCTCCGGATCCAGGCTCCTCCAGGAGGGGGTGTCCCATCCTCAGCAGCCTGGTGAACACCTGGGGCTGTCCTGCTCCCTTCAGACCACCTGTGTGCTCGAAGGGGTGGGATTAGGACGGACCCGCTGAAATGCCCAGCGCCAAGCTGGCGAGCTCAGGTTTTGTCGGGCGCCCAGCTTTGGAGGGTGACGACAGCGGTGACGACAGCGGAGCCGGCATTCATTGGTGCTGCAGACACTGTGTGTGTTTACACCGTCACCTCTCGGCAGCCCTTCACGACCAGCGCCCCGTTATCTTGAGTTGGCTGGTGGCAGGGCCAGGCTCAGGGAGGCCCTTGGCCTGCCCAGTCCTGCAGCCAAGGCAGGGTGGGGTGTAAGGGCGCCTGGGCACTGCAGCTGGCGGGGGGCAGGATCTCTTGCAGAGCCGGGAGGGGCTCACGGGCAGTCACAGGCATGCACTGTCCCCACGTGAAGTGGACAGGATGTGGGGCCTGCAGGCACCATGCTGGCAGCACCAGCTTCTCATGGCCGGGGTCAGAGACCAGGGTTCCTTCAATGGCTGGAGGAGCCGTGGGTGTTGGGGGGCAGGGGGGCGGGCGCTGTCCATGCCACTTGTTTAGCCAGCTCAACCCAGGACGGCCCTCCCCTGCGGGTTCTCAGCCTTCCCACCCGGAGGAGGGACCCAGGGGGCGAAAGTGGGTTAGCGCATCCAGGAGAGTGGGGTCCTGAGCTCAGGTGGGGCTTTCTGACCCCTCAGGTGGATCCAGGGACCCCGAGCCCGAGCGGTCTGTAGGGTCACAGGTACAGGGACACCCTGACCCGGGGCAGGAACAGAACCTTCCATGAGATTTCAGAGGGAGATCAGTGAGAGGAGCCAACTCCTCAGCAGCCACGGGACCAAGACATGGGTCTGTGACCCTGCCAGGCAGGAGTCAGGGCTTGAGACTGTCCATGGGACCAAGTCACGGATCTGTGACCCTGCCAGGTGGGGTACAGTGCTTGAGGCTGTCCGTGGTCCCGGGACCTGGATCCGTAACCCTGCCAGGCGGGGTGAAGTACTTGAGGCTGTCCATGGGACCAAAGCACGGATCTGTGACCCTGCTGGGTGCGGGGGCAGTGCTTGAGACTGTCCGCGGTCCCGGGACCATGCTGACCTTCTCCGGCCCCAAGGTCGCATCTGGGGGGGACGCCGGCCACAGCGACCGCGCCATCCCCGTGTCGCGGGAGGAGAAACCCGGCGCTGCCCCCTCATCCTGAGCTGGGCCTCCCGTCGGCTGCCACCTGCTGCTGCCCCTGCGGCCATCCATCGGGGGAGCCCTAGAAAGGGGGCATTTGTCTTCCTTCTCTTTCCTCTTTCTCGTTTCCTTCTCCTCCTCTCCGAGGGAATGAGGGTTTGAGGGCGTAGGTTGAGGTGCTGCGACCTCAGGGTGACCCAGACCCCAACACCGGCCAGTTGGTGGGAGTGACAGCCATCCCAGCCTCGTTAGACAACTGCCCGTCCTCCTGGGGGACGCAGGCCAGCTGTGGCTGACCGAGAGACCAGAGAACAGCCCTGCCGCGCCACCAGGTGCCTCCCAGCCAGCGCATCTGACAGGGGCAGCAGCACCAGCGTCG